GACTATTTCTTGAATGAGTGAATTGCTGGGGTTAAATGACTGACCGAGGGTCCCTGGGGTGAATGGGTAAGTACCCTGAAATCCCGATGTCTGTCTGTCTTCTCTTGCAACAGTACCTGTGGTGAGGTGAGGTGGATAGAGTGCAGAGGTGCATCTGTCTGCAGGTCTCCGTTGGCAGCTTCCCCTGTAGTAAGACAAGCTGTCTGTGGGAGATCTCCAGGCTGTTGTCTAGAGTTGCTGCTTTGTTATGAGTGTTTGCTCTCGGCAAGCGAAACCCAAAATGTCTGGCTGTTGTGGCTGGGAGCTAATCCTTTGTTCACGGAGATCTGTGTTTTAATGCTGTCCCTGTTTTCATTTAATTCACTTGTTAGGGCAATAAAAGAGATCATATTCCTGGCAGACTGACACAAACCCTGCCAAATGAAAACCTCTGGCAATGTGAACTTTTCCCACTCGGCTGCCGAGAGGGTTGCAGCTACCAAGGCTGCTGCTCACGCCGCGTGTCAGAGGCTGGGCAAAGCTGGCAGAGCAGCCCCTGGTCAGGCTGCTGCTGGGCTCTGCACGTCAGGGGAGCTGCTCGCACCAGCAGTGAGCCCTGTGCTGGGCTGCCTGCATGCAGTTCGGTTCAGGCTGTATATCTGTGCTACAGCCAGAAGTGGATCACAGCCTGGAAAACATACCTAGCCTACTGTTGAATAAATCAGCTCAGATGGCAATCAGGCTCAAGACACGACACGGTGGGCTCGTCTTCTAAGTCCCTGCTGCTAGTGCTTCTCTGCAGTGGTTGCTCAAGCAAGGTGAGACTGCACCACCTGACATCACAGTAAATACAGCTCCCGTCATTACTGCAGTCTCTTCAGTCACCTGATTTAAGCCATGATCTTGTTTCACGCTCTGCCGAGTTTCCCCTCCATGCCAGCCTGGTTGTGTGTGAGGTCTCGGGACCACAGGATAATCCCTGGTTGAAGGACACCAGGTTGGCATCTGGTCTGGCCTCCTGCTTACAGCTGCAAGGTCAGGCCAGGTGACTCAGGGCTTGCCCAGTGAAACTTTGAGTAAGGAGTTGCTAAAGGAATAAAGATTAATTAAAGGCTTATGAAGCATGTCACGAGCAGGAAAGCTCATAGGGGATGGGAATGGGGAGGCAAGGGGCAGACTGCTGGCAGTCTGCATGTCAAAGGAGCTCTCCAGAAAGACAGTGCTGTGACAGGGCAACTTAGGGCTTTCCTTGCACCAGTAAGGATCTCAAGGGAGATCCGGCAGGTAAGTTTTCATCCTCAAAGCTATTGTTTCTGTGGTATGCCTGAGAAACTGTTTAGACTTCTGTGATGCTGCAGGAGGGTCTATTTATTTTCAACTGATGAAATGAAGTCTAACTAGTGCCATGGTCTGGTATTCTTCCAGCACTGTGAATACCAAACTGCTCTAGTTTAATATTCATGCAGATGTCGCTTCTCTGTTAGGGTAAAGTAGAAGCCCAGACTGCTAAAAATTGCTGGGACGTACCAGGGAAAGGATTGCTTGCATACACCCTGCACCCTTTCTGCTTATCCGAAGCATTTGCTGGTGGCTTCTGTCAGAGGCAAGCTCAGAGAGTGCCATAGGAAATAATAAGTGAAAGTTACCATGATGTTGCCTTCTGCAATTGCTGTTGTAGTGCTGTGGTGTTCAGGCGCTTGTGTCTGAAGGCTCCTGCTGTGTTAACTGGCTTACTGGATTTACAGGTCATGTGCTTTAGTCTAATTACTTTGAATGCACCATTATCTTAAAATACAAACTTTAAAATCTGTGGCAGGAACAGTTTTGTTTGTATTAACGCCTGAATAGTGGTTCAGACTTTGGATTGAGGTTTTATGTGTGACTGATAAAGCATCAATAGCTGATGCTCTCTTTTGTAGCAAAGTGGAGCAGAGGGGGAGAATTTACGGAGAGTAGGATTGATTATATTGAATGGAGGGAAGAAAGATTTGCATAGCTTCTGTGTTGGGACTTAATATCCACATATATCGTCAAGTAAGCATAGTGTAAATGTTCTCCAGGGCTTTATTATGCAAGACACCACTTATGGTTAAAGGTATGGAAGGACCCTTTCATAATAAAACTTCCTGTTCTTTTGATATAGCAGCAGTTAAGTAAGGAAAGAAAGATTAAAGAGCAAGAAAAGTCTAAATAGGTTTCTGTTTCTGGAAACAGAGACTGCAAAACAGCTTTTCATGCAGGATATGAATTATGCTTATAAGTAAGAAGCAGTGTCTTTGCAAGCATAATGCCTCAGAGCTGCTAGGGGAAGAATTCCATATGTAGAGATTTAGACATGTTTGAAGTCTCAGTTCCTAATAGAAGAAAACATTCCTGAATGCAGATATCTGAAGAAAAAAAAAAAAAGAGAGAGAGGAAGAAAAAGTAAATAGTTGGCAAGTGTTGAATGTAATATTTTCTTCTGTAGTTAGTATATTTAATTGTTAATTTCATAGATGTTGTAGTAATCAAGAAAAACGTTTATAGCCTGCAACAATTAGATCCGCAGAAAAAAAGCAATAAGGTTTGTATGCACTTCCTGCACTGAGATACTCTTTTAAGCCTGACAAATGTATGTGAACTATGTTAATCACAGAACAAGGGAGAAATACCCTCCCTCACTTAAAGTTAAAAATCAAAAACAGGTATTGAACAGGTATTGAAAGTTAAAATCAAAAACAGGTATTGAACAATGCTAAGATATAAATCAAAGTGAAGGAAGAAACTATGACAGTAGAACTCTGAAGATGATTACAGTAAGTCATTCATGTATCATCAAATTTTGGAAATTAAATTTTCTTCTTTCCTCCTTGACAGTACTTAGTTCATATGAGATAAAGTTAATTGCCCAAGAGATTCATCTCAGGTTTGCATGCTACTTGGTCAGTTTGTCTAGAACTGAAGATACCAGCCAGCACTATGGTACTCCTGTAAGCTGTCTTCTGTTTCATTTCCAGGGATGGGCCTGGATAGATTTGACTTGCAAAGTGCTAATTCTCTAAATGCTACAGGGATGACTGCATCCCCTTTGAGAGATATAGCTGCAGTGGATAAGCACAGTATGTGGGGGAGCAGGTGGGGTTTGTCACAGGTGGAACAAAAAGTCTAGAGTTTGACTTACCACACTTCTGAAAGCTAAAAGTTAAATGTGTTTTTTTAACTCTCTTACCTGTATGAAGACAATACAGGTTGCATGGATTTCTGAAGGACACATTAGTGCCTTTCAATTTCTATCCTCACATGAGCAATTCTATTTTCAACACATAAATCTAACCTTTTCATATGAAGCAAGTGCATCTATTCTTTGATGGAAAAGGTGACAAAATATTGCTTGAAGATTAAAGACCACTGCCTCAGCATCCCTAAGTGTTGCTTGCAATTTTTAAAGAAATTAATGTTTCTCCAACCATGAAAAGGGTGTTCGTTAAAAGTTTTTCATCATTAGCATGATCATAGATGAACCATTAACAAATTAACATATTTGTTTAATTACTTTAGAGAAATATATTTTCAAATTGAAACAGGATTAGCAAACTAATGAAAATAGTAACTTTCTGCTTAGATTGGATGGGTAGGTGTTACCCCATTTGATATCCAAAGATGATATTGACACGACTAAAACTTGTGCAGAACTTTTTATTCATGTTCTCCTTTCCCACCTGCTGAACAGGATATATTTGATCTAACTTTATTCTGTTCTAATAAACTGGGTTGAAAGAAGGACTGAAATTACAAGGATTATACGGTAAATATGGAGTAGGTAGCAATGGCATCTAGCACCCTCTATGAAGGCTGAGGATGAAGAATATTGGGGGGAGGAGCTCCCCAGAAATTTTGGAGGAGAAAAAGTATTTCCAGACTGGGAAGCTAAAAATGGGTTTAACGTAGTGTTTGTGAAGTAGCAGCACCTTTTGGGGCAGATTAGTGTTGGCAGAAATAACACGGTCTTGGGCAGCAGTTCTTGGATCTGTAAGAGGTGATACCAAGGAAATTCAAGGGTATGAACTGGTGAGGAACAGAGCTTGCCTTGCCTCTGTGGCTTAAAGGAGGTGAGAAACAGTGTTAATATGAGTTATTTTCAGTGGGCTTTAAACAGCTGTTGTGCATTGGGTGCAGGGAAGTAGTGATGTGTAGGACTTGGTGTGTTTACGGCTGCGTTTGTATTTCGCTATGGTGTATTTGTATGTATTTGTAAGCCGAAAACAGTTAATCTCACAAGTGCATATAGTTTTGTTCATGAAGCTTCATTTTTGAGCAGATTGGAGTCTGAAGTACTTGTTGGTACACTTGAATTGGTCTCAGGGTGTAACATGAAAGCAGGAGTGTGAGTGCCAGTTTGTGGAATTTCTTCTGCTGGTTCAGTGCACAGCAGGACCAGAGCATGTCCTTGCTGCAGATGGGTGGCACCTAACTCCAAGCAGTAAGAGTCAGAAGTTTCAGAAGCAATAAGAAAATCAACTGGCTGTCCGTTAACACACCAGTGTGTAATTTCCCTTATATGATCTTTTAAGAAAGAGCTGCTGAAAGCAACTTTTCTTTCATTTGAAGTTCTGTTTTCAGGCCTAATCTCATAATCTCCTTGTGGCAGAACATACATGTCAGTAAATAATATTGAATGTGCCCTAGTATTAACTAAGAAACTCTTCTGTTTGCTTGTAATAAAAGGGTGTGAAAAATAGTTCTTTGCTTGTTCCTCTGTTTTGTTGGTGTCTTTTTATTTTTCCCTGCAAATTGAAGCTGTCCTTCTGTGCTTTACTTCCCCAGCAGCTGCTTTGTGAATCTTCCAGCCTGTATAGCCCTTTTGGCTTTTTAGTACATAGAGAGAAAAAGAGAGCACAGGGCTTTGATTTTAAAATGAACTTTTAAACTAGAGATCTCCTTAAAGAATACAATATATAGAAGCAAATAAATACTAAGGATTTGGGGAATGCAGGAAAATGAAAGGTAATGTCTTCTTTATCTACTTCTCATATTTATTTTAGGTTTGTCAAAATGAAGAAAAGAACCATTCCACAGAAGAACTTAACAAGTCTGAAACCCAAGAGGAGTTGAAAAAGGCTAATAGCCTTCCTAGTTTGACTCCTGGAATAAAAACAGCAGATAAAGACAAGCAACCCCGAGAAGGTTTTTTTCAGTTTCTTGGAAGCTTATTTAATCTCACAACAAAATCTTCTTTGGTAGAATCTAAACAGTCTACCTTCCAAGATGAACCCAACAGATGTGAAAAGGATTTACAGAACACAAATACTCCTATGGAGGACATGCATCCACAGCATCAAAAAACAGAAGAGCCTGTCTATTCTACAGCTAGAATGAAAGAGGACTCTGTAAATAAAGATGACGTGATCCCAAATAACGTTGGGAAAGATTGCTCAAAGGATATAGAAAAAGGTCAAAAACGATCTGCAGATGTGCGAAAGTAAGTTTTGTAATTTAATATTAAATTATTAAAAAGTGTGTGTGTGTGCGGAGAACTAAAGTGACATAAATTTTGTTGAGTGGAGAACTGGTGACTGTCATTTCTAAGGATGAATGGAGTGTCCCTGACTCAACTTTGTGCAAATAGTGACAACCTTAAATAAATGGGGAGACATCAAATGCTACAAAATACAACTTTAAAAATGTTTTTTCTAGAAATCTTCAGACCACGAATGATAAATCCACTGTAGATCCTTCTAAGCATGAAGGGAGAAGAAAATTGTGGCATTTAGGAATACATTCAGTATTGTAGACCTATTTAAAATACAAAAAAAAAAAAAAAAAAAGAAGAAAGAAAATACAAGCTTGTTTACATCCGTATTGTGGGCTAAATAAAGGTTAAAAGGTTTCTCATTTTTATATTTAACTAGTTCTGTGTTTTTACTTCTGCAATTAAGGTTTCTGCATTTTTTAAATTATCTTTCCTGGTTTATTTGACTAGGCATTTTTTTGTTTATTTATGTTGCTTCCCTATGTTCTTAGGGTTTTTTGTGTAACAAAAAGAAGGTTATGTAAAATACTCAATTAGCCTAAGTATGGAACATCCTTAACAGTCCTGTAATATTTCCAAAAAAAAAAAAAAAAAAAGGTGCCACAGGCACTGATGTGTGTTTGTGAGTAGAAAAGCTAAAATCTTGGCTGTGGTCCACACTGTATATTACAAAATTTTCTGACTCTAGTATAAACATAGATAATAGAATTCCAAAAGCATTTGTAGCACTTAGGTTGAATATTTGACTACGTGGGCTAATACAGCTTCCGTTTGGGTTACGTGTGTGTGTATGTGATACTCGTCCGGTTTCTGATAGGTGCCTAGAATATGAACTTGCCCAAAGATGATGAGTCTGTAATTAATTTTTACTTGGGTTTTCAGTACTGCCCAGGGTACATACTCAAATTTTAAACCAAAAGTAATGATTTGGGGTATTATTGCTATTGTGGTACTCCTATGGTTGGTGAAGGGGAAGTAAGTCATAGGTTTCAGAACTGGCAGGTGAACTGAGCATAGGATATAGAACTGTTCGTAATTTGTAGTAATAGTGGTTGTGTTCTCTTTAGAGCTCTTTGGGTTTGATCTGATTGATTAGATGACCTTTAAGATCTCTTCCAACCCAATCTCTGTTATGATCCTATAATTGTGACAATCAACCAGTTTTTATGATGGATTCTTAATGTACTAGCATATGTTGCACTGACACTTTTTCCAAAGTGCAAGTTGCAGCCCATGACCACTTCCCTGGCCTGTGTATGAGTTTCTTTAGTTATCTGAAGTGCCCTAGGTGCATTATGCCATTTGGTCTGGTTTCTGAACAAACTGCTTTTCTTAAACGGTGTTCAACAGGCTGGCTTGCTTCATCACTCTCACTGCTGTTCACTGTTTTTCTAGTGTATTCTGGAAACTAAAGGCGAAGTTGCGTGCTATAATGCCAGGGGCTGTGCAGATGCACATTCAAAAAAAAAAAAAAGACAATAGACATTAACAGCTCTTTCTCACTTTTTACTTCATTCCACATAGTTTCTTCCATATCATATTGCAACATACTTTCTGCTGTATTTTCTTCACTGTTTGCTGTTTTTCTCATTCTCTCCACACACAGCTATTGATTGTATTATTCACCTTATGGGGGCAATCTGTACTCTGTATAATTTTTTTCCTCGTGCATTTTGACAACAAAGTCAAATCTGCTTTTCTACTGTGCTCTTGTAATTTACCTTCAGACTCTCCTGTGTATTTGGATGACTATGAGTACTGGAGATTCAGATGAAGGCCCAAAATGTGGTGAACTCAACATGGCAATGTCACTTCTGCTGCCTTTTCGAAGTGTTTCAAAGTGTGAAGGAGATTTTTTTGACTTTCATTTTGTTTTGATGCTTACAGGTCTGTGAGTAGGAGCAGGGGAAGTGACAAAGTGTTGAGATTTACTTTTGCTTTCTGTTCATGTTATACTTCTGCATTTGAGTAGATGTTCAGCACTAAAGAGGTGCTGGGCAGTCTGTACGCACAATTGAAAGGGTCAGATGGTCTCAGTCTTCAGAACGATCAGGATTTATACGTATGGCTTTAATAAAACTTCAGTAGTTCAGAAGGTATGGGTACTAGCTCACTGAAGTGACCTTGCTTTGTGCTGTAAATATTTTTAGAGTTATGCCAATTTTATTGAAATAAAAGTTGCAGTTGGCGTTTTCAATCAGACGTATCTTACATTGGCCTATCTTGTTAGATAACCTAGGCAAATCTAGGTTAGTCTAAGTCTAGGTCTAGTTTTTTCTCTGTGTAGTTTACATGTTTCATAGTCAGGCAAGAATATAAAAATGTCTGTCACTGGTTTGAAGGTAGAAGTGAGTTGGTGTATATACAAAATGATTTTTTTTCCCCAGAAACTGACTCTTAAATGTAGCCATTATAAAATTGGAAAAGCATTAAAACAGCCATTTTCCTTTTAAACTTGTTCTCAAAAGTACAGTGTACATTCTGCCCTTTTTGGCTCAGTGTACTAAAGAGTTAGACAATCTCTGCAATTTTTGTGTTTTTGAAGAGATTACTGAAGAGAAATTGAAACAACTGTGTGGAAGCAGAGGTTTGCACTGTTTACCTTTTAGAGAAGTTTGAATCAATAATATTTCTTTTTATGTTATGGAGGTGATTATGTAATTTTTGTTTTCTTATAGTACAGAGAAATGTAAAGGATGTGGAGCAGGGTTTTCTTCTCTTTAGTATTAGCTTCTTTTTTAAAGGTTAACTAATCTTCATTTAGCATTATTAAAGTGTAAAAGCACTCCTGATTACCTACAGGTGGCCTGATAGGTTTGTAGCAAGTACTAAGAAGTAGCTAGATGTGGGTCCTAAAAGAATATGAACAGAGATGGGAGGGTGGGGGGATGTAGCACAAAGGAACTGGATGTTGTGTGGATGCCATAAAGGAAAGTGGTGGTGTGAACATGGTCTTCTGCTAATCTCTTGAGGATCAGGTCCCAGAAAGCAGGTGAGATATGCTAGTGATCCATACATGTTCAAAGGCATGATTGATTCCATTGATGGTTACGTTAAAATGTAGTTTCAACATTTATTGTAGAGACAAGTTGAAATGTAGGGCTTGACAAATATTTCAGACCACTGCAAGCATGTATTACTGATCTTGTAACTGTTTCCTTTGTCGCAAGGAAAATTCTAAATGAATTTGTTAATTCTAAACTACTGTTAAATATTAAATTGGACGTTATCTCTGCTTATAGAGGAGGCTACAATGGTAAGTAAAAGAGGAACAGTTGTTAGATTGCATAATCCCCATGGGAGTTGTCTGGTTTTGGTGTGCTTTTTTTTAAAAAAACTTTCAGAGCTTAATGCATACCAAGTAGTCTCAGAGCATCTACCCAGACAACTTTATTAACCTCATGTCCTTAAAGCATTATTTTGCAAAATACCAGGAAATCAGACTGCTCTGACCTGTAGACAGAGGTTATTTCTGCCCTCAGTGGGAGGCCTGTCCTTGGGTAGAAACTCAAGTTTCCAGGCCTTGATCCAAGCAGAGTGGAATTTGTGAACTTAGTCTGTGGAGTGCATGTTCGTGAGGGACGAAACGTGTAGGCCATGTTATTTCTCCATCACCCTGCCTGTCTGGCTCAGTGGTAATTGTACCTTCAGGGCTTCTGCTTCTTTAATCCAGGCAGCAGCATGTGGTAAAGGAGAAGTGTAGAGCATAAAACCATGATAAATTGGACAAAGTCTCTAGGCAAGAATTACTGTGGACAGTAATATAATAATTGCAGCACTGAAGATGCGGTGAGGAGAGTTGGGTTCGCTAAGTCTCCAGTTATTGCATCCATTAGTTTTCCAGTTGTCTGGGATGGTTTAAGGTTTCCTTGCCATTGAGAACTGAAGCAGGCAATTGGGCTTGCCCTGTTCTATAGAAGGTTCATGATGAAGGGCTGAGGTCAGTAAAGTACAATGGTAAAATAGTGCTCATTTGGCAGTCAGTAGGAAAAAGACAGACAAGGAATGGGCTAATATATGTGGAAAAATCTTTAGTGTCCCCAGCGGTTGAGGGCTAAGTATAAGAGTGGAAAGTTCATGTTTAGTTTTAGCCTTTGCACTCCTTCTTAATGAAGTTAAAAAACAACTTTTAATTAACAAAATAAGCCCTAAAAGTAAAACTAATGAAATAGTGGGGACACATTTAATTTCTCACCACTGAAAGTCGCTATGGGAAAGTGCAAGATTTCATAATGTAGATAAAATAAAACATGGGTTTGCTCCCATCTTTCTTGCCTTTAACTAACAAGCAGCAATTTGTTTCAAAATTGAGGCTATTTCCCAAAGACCCCTGAAAATGGACTTCCTGCAGTAGGTACCTACCATGTTCTCAAGAATACCAGTCAAGGTAATAGGCAGTACACTCCACAGGTGACTGAGAACATAACTTGTAATTTTAACAACTTATTTCTCTTTTTCCCAGGGAAAAAAAATAACTAAAAATAAATAAATACAATTTAAAAAATTGCGTCTGATGGCCTAGATCTCTGTTGACTGCCATTTTCCTATATTCTCATAATTTTTTTCTTTTTATAGCATTCACGAACAATAAGTGGATGTTGTGTATAGTGAAATGCTTAACGATGCTTAACAATGCTTAACTTGTGAAACTGCATGGCTTGTTCTGGAGTTTAGCAAGAAGTCTTGTTGCGTTGCTGAACATGATTGATGAGCTGAAAAGTTGCTGAAAACTCTTAAATGTTTCGACTGTAAAATCCTGACCATTGGTTAAAATGCTAATACCCAAATTTAACAAAGTAGTAAAGATTTTGACTTCTCCCTTCTGTTATGACCCTTGTGGAAGTGAGAAAGAATTCCCAACCCACAACTGCAAGGATTTCCTAACTGTAAGTAGAAGATGAGAGGGGATGATTTCAAAAGCAGTGTTCAAAACAGTTTGCTTTTACACT